TGAATTCGATATCATTAGCCAATCGGGAGTCCCCACTGTCAGAGTGTCAAATATAGCGGCAAATTCCACGAGTCTCTGCTAAGTCCTAACTAGAGAATAAGGATGAGACATTAGTAGACTGGATAGGCAGGTGGTATTTGATAGCAGGGAACGATGATAATGATATGACAGGGCTTAACCAAAGCGAACCGGAATCTATACCAGAGAGGAAGGTGATGGAGCCTTTCGTCCACGCAACCCTGGATCGGTGGACCTCTATGGAGAACAGAGCTCGGGGAGCCGCCGCAGGAAGGGGTCCAATCAGGGGGGAAGATTTCGTTATATCAGGCGTTGTATTCGGAACCCCTCGAAGTATTTAATATTGTTCCACTGAGGATTTGGCAGTTGACGTGGACGGACAAAGAGATCAGATTCAGGTCGGGCTCGCTGTTTTCGATGGGGTCTTGCTCGAGCAGGGGTTCTCTACTCATTCATGACTACCTTAAAGTTATTCTGCATACTGAGGACGGGATTGGGTGTGGGTGTGATGGAGTCACAGCAGTGTATTTTAGCGTGACTATTATTATAACCAACTAATGTGATGCTTGTTGACTGGAGAAAAGCACCTTCTCTTTTGGGGATAGAGTCTTGAGCATCCTTCCCTAACGGCGCTCAGGATCATTACAACTACAGAAATGTGGTTAATACTCCGAATCTGCTTTATAGATTTGACGCCACAGGATAGTGACTTGCAAATGACTTCTATTTCTGTTTGATCTCTTAATTTGAAATGAGGGACTCCGTATTCCCAGATCTATCAATCCAATCCAGATGCTCTATGTACATTTTAGCCGCTCTTGAAAATGTAATCCGCCTCCAGCCCATGTCCATGATATACAGAATTTATCACCTGTAGTGTATGTATCATCTCATTTAACTGCATATACTCCCATGACAGATATTACAGGGTCATGTTACCTGCTTTGTTCTTTTGAAAGTTCCCCCGGTCTGCTCTGCCTTGGTTCTAGGTGTTTTGACCGTCCAAGAGAGCCACAATACAGGACGCGTTATCGCCTCCCCCCTTTGTTGTTTGAGCTGCAGCAGTAGTCGCAATTTCTTGAGCTATGTCGCCAGCTCTCATCCCGCGCATGGATAATCTCATCACATGATGGATCAATGTTGCATCGTCAATGTTATCACTAACGCCGTCGGACGTGACCACCACGAGATAACGTCGATCTGGCGAAAGCGTCATCCGGGTCATGTGAGGTTCCACAGACAGAAAATTACCTCGGGTCTCTGGTGCTGAAGAACTAGACGACGCCCGTCGGGTCTTTGAGGATGAATATTCGTCACCGGCATTGTTGATTGGGTTCTTATACTGAAGATCCCCCAGCGCTCGTGACATGTTCAGGCTGCCTAGGAGGAGTTGAGATGGCAAAAGTCAGGAACTTGAAGTAGCTTTAGCTTTTTGCATAACCATACGCACCTAGGCGAGCAGTCCCTCTTCTCGTGTTGACAGCGCCGCCAGCATCTTCAATTCGAGCCTTCTCATCGGGTGTATCCGGTTTATGAGACTTTGAAAGCCGTCGCTAGCGCATCAATCAGCCAAAATTCCTTGGAATCAGCAAACCCTCCTCACTTACGATTTGGGATGGGTGGTCGGTTCGGTTATCGCGTTCGGCTAGGATGACGTGGGAGTCTCCGAGATTGGCTACAACAAGGTCGCCCTTGGTGAGGTTGACGAAGCAAAGCGCGACAGTGGAACCGGAGACGGCAGGCTCGGTGGTTAGATTGTTGAAGGTATCCAGCAAAACAGCATCTTCATCGACCAGTGCCCCTCTTATGGCTGCTTCATAGTCGCCTTGGTCGAACTCAGGACGCTTAGCGAGTAACAAGTGCAGGTTCCGGCTGGCATGATCGGAGACTAGCTCGGAGCCACTAATTATCAAGGTCAGCCTGCATCCTCTCAGACGCTAACTTGACAAAGCCCTTACTGCCCGTCGTAGACCGCAAAATACGTGAGCTTATCGTTTGTCTGGGAAGGAAACTGGTCTGGCAAAACGAATGTGCAACGATCCTCCTGAAAAGGTCGACCCCCTTGAACCTGGAGTTGGATTAGTCGAAGAACAACAGCTGTACGTTTGATTAATTTAAAGAATAGAAAGTGTTTCTCACTTGGCCTGCTCCTGCATCGAACAACAGAAGCGCATCTGAGGTAGACAAGATAGTATTGCGAAACATTTGGTGTTTGAAGTAACTTTTGGAAATAGATAATAATAGCTCAAGGTATCACTTCAGACAGATGCTCGTGGTTATCATCTAGGAGAGTCAACGCTGCCAATGGTTCGAAGATCGCCTGACCAGGTGGTGGCGCCTCGACACCATGACGCCTTGAGATCAATCACGGCTGTTTGCTTAGCCGTCATATCGTGCTCATTCATGCATGGCCACCGCAGGTCCTCATCCATGGATTGAGCGTAGCACAACAGCCTGCTCGACAGGTCAGAAATCTGGTACACTCATGGACTTTCCGTGAGAAATTGGAAATTGTCCTCTGCGGATGAGCATAATGAGACAGTGAATCGTGTGATAATCAGAAATCAGCTATGAAGACCCTCTTCAGGGGACCAAGTAAGGTGAATAGTATATCTCTTTGAAATAAGTGGAGATGAGGTACGGAGTACCGTACTAGGGTTGTGCCTATCCATACCATAATTCCACAGGGGTTGTGAGCACGAGCCACTACTTTGTTTCTGTCGTCATTTTTTGCCTTTCGCTTCCCCCCCAGGCACCTTCGTTCTTCGCTTTCTACAGACTATTCTAGACCTCGGTGCTGCGGTATGGGCTGGGTCGGAGTAGTGACGCTTCTTGCGACCGCATGCTATTTGTTCTATCGATACCCTCCTCCATCATGGACTCAAGAACTCCCTTCTGCCCCTTCGCCTCAGCCGCCGGGATCAACCTCCGATGAAGCCGAGACAACCAACCTTCCTTCGAAGAATAATAATTTACGGAGAAATGAATTGAAGGCACCGAAGAATGAGAATGAAGATGCGGATGATCCTCAAACCACACCAAAAGCGTCAGCGACGAAGGCATCGGCTCTCGATGTTCCGACACTGCACCTTACCAGCGACCAGACTCACAAGGCAGCGGGTCCCAGTAAGCAAGACAATGAGCAGCAAACACGCGATGGCTCTGCCAAATCGCCACTGGATTCTGAATCTATCACTTCAAGCGAAATAAAAACGATTCCCGTGGTGTCTCCGCGCCAGACCGGATCCAGTACCTCCTCCTTGATGCCTCCCCCTCCACCTCCACGTCTACGACCGTCGACACTACAGAACCAGCAGCATCAACCAACCTCATCGCTAAACCCCGGACGATACCTCCCACGTCCCAGTGCAGGCAGCGCACTTCGTCCGCCACCATCTGCTGCTGCCTCTCTACGCGTGCCACCGGGCAGCCGCCCCACAAGCAACAACTCGCTTGCGCCTACACAACTCACGCTGAAACCGTCGACTACAGCGAAGAAGGCGATTTTGGAACCAGGATACTCGCCGCTCGATTGGGCCGCGCTCACAGCGAAGCCGAACAATAATCTGCGGGGCGCGAACCTACCCCCGACTCTCGTCAGAGTGTCACCGTCAATGCTGAAGGCGCAAAATGGCCGCAAGGGTTGCGATGCGTGGACTTCCTACCAGGGCAAGGTTTACAACATCACTCCATACCTCCCTTTCCATCCCGGCGGCAAGGGAGAGCTGCTTCGGGGTGCAGGCAAAGACTCAGGGAAACTGTTCATGGAGATCCACCCGTGGGTGAACTGGGATGCGATCCTGGGGGAGTGCCTAGTGGGCATTCTCGTATCGGAGAACGAGGCGAATGCGAACGAGAGCAGTCTCGATGCGATGGACTGATTTTATCATGCGCATTTTGCGGAGTAAGGTACTTGTATAGACTTGGGCCTGGATGTATACCATGTTTTATTTGCACAACTAGATACCCATAGAGAAGTCCGCATCCCTGACCATCAACCTATAGACAACCTGCAAGCATTCCCGCAAGCCTAGGGAAACACTGTCGTCTCTTTACAGTCTTCAATAATCCAACAGCCTACAGCTCATCATTGTCAACCCCTTCAATCTTCACCAACTCCGTCTCAAAAATCAATGTCGCGCCCCCAGGAATAGGCCCGATCCCGCGCTCTCCATACCCATACTCAGGCGGGATCGTCAGCGTCCGCTTCTCTCCCACACACATATCCAAAAGGCCTTCATCCCATCTAGAGAATAGAATAAACCCATGTGTCAGCCACTGCTCCCCTGAAACAAAGGTCCCGGGAAACCAGAAGTAAGAAGACTCACCCCTTAATGACCCGCCCCGCACCAAGCTTGAACTTCAACGGCTGGTTGCGACCATAGCTCGAGTCGAACTCAGAACCATCCGCCGCGAGCGTGCCCCGGTAGTGCATATGGACTGTATCGCCCTTTGTGGTCTTGCGGTTGCATTCGACCTCGTGGGTTTTCTCGATGCCGAGGTCGGCGGAGAGGGCGAGGGTGGTGAGGGAGAGGAGGAGGGCGGAGATAAGAGGAATACGCATTTTGAATATTATAGATGATTCGAATGGAGGAATTGAAATTGACTGAAGAAGATACCGGGATGTAGAGGAATTGGAGCGTTGCTGTGGTTGGGTCGGCTGTTGTTGGGCGGATGTGCTCTCCAAATGGAGGCAACGTGGTTAGATGGCGATCTGCCGGAGTTTGCTTAGTATGCGGCGCTCCGTCGACGACTCAAACGTACCACCCATGAAGCATGTTTGAAGATTGTGACTTTGTTGTTTCCTCTACAGTCCGACATGTTGAGCAAATTTTCATATTAGGTCGAAATGAAATACCGCCACTTCTCTATGGGTAACCCGGCCAGGTAGGTGAACTTGAAGCAAATAAGATTATTTGGATATGATCTATATACATATACACAGAGCCAATGTTGTTGACAGTCATGTAGCCAGAGCGAGATTAAGCCCATTTCCCAAGCAAAGCCATCAGCAACGCACCCAGACATAATAGACCAAACGCTGCAAGAACAGTTCGGATCGGTGCCTTGCGCATCGATGGACTGAACATGAACTCATGAGCCATGAGCTCCACAAGAGCCGTGTAGATGAGGATACCGGCAGAAATGGAGTCGAAAACTCCGTTGACGATGAGAGTGGTGTAACCTTCGGGGGGGTAGCTGTTACGGACCCCCAGTCCGATAGCAATGGCAATAGGCGTGGAGAGGCCGTATGCAACTCCGAGTATGTAGGGAGTAAAGCGTTTTGAGCGGGGCCAAGGGGTCGTTGCCAGGCGGGAACCCAGACCCAGACCTTCGAAGGTTTGGTGGAAGACCAAGACAATGTAGAGCGTGATGAATTCTTCTCCAGATACCGCCAAGGTCAGGCCAATGAAGATCGAATGGAAGATGATACCAAACTCCAGAATGAAAATCGATGTCAACTGAGCGGAATAGTCCTCAAGTGAGGAGATCTTTTCACCCAGCTCGGTGTCATGATGCTCTCGGGAGTGACCGAGATGATCCTCTCCGGGCATGTGGCTTTTGGGGTCGACGGTTGCGGGCGGGGCGTCAAGAGATTGATGCGCATGATCGTCATGTCCCAAATCACCCAAGTGGCTATGACCAAAGCGTGCGTACCGCATCACCATCAACTCAACGAAGAACAGCACAACAATGGTCATGAGGATGATACCTTCGACCCATGAGTATTCAGTGATCGGACCCGTGAGACACGGATTAGTCAATGCCTCTTCTGCTGGGGCCAAAAGATGGATGAAGGCGGTAGCAATAATGACACCCGAGCCAAAGTACTTCGCAACGAAAAATGCGCGTCTGAGAAACTTAGAGGTGCCAAAATTCCGTGCAAAGACCGGAAACACAGCACCCAGCATCGAGCCGACCATAATCACGAAGATGGACGATATACGCAAGCCCATGCGCCCGTCGTACTCGTTCCCGGTATTACAAGAAGGTGTGGCGCCCGTCTCCGGGTCGCGCACCAGAAGAGTGTGAAGGCCTTGCATGATGGTTTTCCGTGCGACCTAGAAGGCGAATCGAAAGAGCCACTGGAAGTATAGACAGGTATCGCAGCCCGACCAGCGACTTCAAACAGCACGGACCACTTCCGAGCTATGAATGAGTGGGATGGAAGAGAAAGGTGCACAGATCAGATCACTCAAGGGATCGACACAGGCGAAAGCCCAATCAAATCAAGGCAGAAGATGGACAAGGGATTCCACGAAGCACGAAACACGTGGAAATAAGCTCAGATGTAGAGAACAAGCGATCTTGTCCTTCCTTGAAGGCTTGGCCGCGACTCTTATATTTGCACCGCCTTGGATCAAGCGGGCAACAAGGTCGGAAAATTCTAATCGCAATCCTCAAGGTCCCTACAGAATTCACTTAGACTGAGTACTAAGGCTGCTTAGCCTGTGACAAGAGCGAGGTCAGAGGCTTGACCGTCGTGTATTCGCTGACAGTCAAGACGGCAGCAGGGATTTTGAATCCGCAATTGAGGACCTTGGTAGCACGGCGACAGACCAGCAGGCAACCAGAGATTCCGCTATCCCCAATGAATCGTCCGTATGGGAGATGAGATATCCGATGATGGACTCTCGTTGCCGATTACCAAATTTACCGCGAAGACAGACGAGAAACCTCTGAGATGGGGATAGGTTCGTCGAGGAAGTGTACGCAGTACGGACGGTGAGAATTGATGGTTGGAAAGAGGTCCATAGTGACAGTATATCTCCCACATCACTCTGAATCATCTACCTCGTTAGCGGGAGTGGTCTTTGATGGGGACCTTGGGAGAAAGCGGTTCCGCAAACCTTTGGTAACGAGCGAACAGACGTCAACGACGAAGAGTTTTCGTCCCGCCGTGAGGACCTTGGGAGCACGCCAACCCCCATTTCCACTGCTGCTGATTGGCAGCGGCATGCGGGATTATGTCACGTGAACAACCTTATAGCCGCATGGAGTCCAGCCCAGAACAATTAATTACCTTCCACATGGGGATCCTTGTTGTATGCATGGGCAACTCGAAGTCCTCACCGGATGAAATAGGAAATCAAAACGATATCGAGACTATACCATCTAAGGAGTAGAATGATCAGAGGAGTCGTTGTGATCCAATTTAAGGAAGAGTTGTAGGAAAGAGATGTGGCATATGTACAACACATATAGTAGGCGGTGTGCGGTCAGAGGAGGAGGTGGAATCGATATCCGCCATCATTCGTAGGTTTACGGAGTTCTCCGTGCAAGGTCTTGCTCAGGGAAGCGAGGAGAGGGATAGCTTTGCGGAACGTGATACTGTTCGGAAGGGGTCGCCTGCAGAGTATGAAGCTGAATTTGTTATAGTGACTGCGGTGGTGGTATATCACACGTCAGTATGAACTTCATAGTACACCCAACTTTCCGATAATCGGCGTCTGTCGAACCATCGGTTAATTCAGAGCAAACGGCCTAGACTACTGGCTGCATGGAGGACAATCCTGGCAAAGAGCAGACTCGTGAGTTTCGGACATGGGGATGTCTGGACCCTCAATCAGCCGATGTCAGTATGGAAGCCACAAGGGCTTGCCCAAAGAAATAATGGCACGTAATAGGGCCGATGATTCCTATGTCTCTACCTCTCTACAGATCCAGAAGATGTGGAATTCTGACGCTACCAGAACACCAGGTGGAAGAGATGGATATTCTGATGTTTGGAAGCGTGAGGACCATGATTGGAGCTACTGGCGAGGCTTATTCTGCCTGCCCATTCCATTGCCTTAATGATGGGTCACGTGTTCATTCAAGTCCGGCACGCTTTACTGACAACCATCTTTATCGTGTCACTCGCAACTTTGTGGTAGCATAGGCCTCCCTTTATCTTCGAGGGTCTTTGTAACGACGAAATTCAGCGTGGACAGATGCAGTTGGTCAACTGATTGTGACGTCAATCCTTCCACATCAGCATGGCACCTGTTCGGCGATACCTTCGAATCAGCAGATACTCTGTCCTTGAATGTCGAATCTATCTCGAGAATCCATTAGATTCTCGGTGGCTTCTTGATAGCCGAGACCCTGTACTCCCCCGGATATTCGCCGCCATTCGTCCGTTGGTGCTACCAAAGTTACGAGAGGAAAATGAAAGGCTGTACGCTAGGAAGAAAGGGAAGCCGGTCAAAGATGTGATAGCTGAAGGTACTGTGGGCTTTCTATTTTGGGAATAGTGGACATCGGGTGATTATTGACTCTAATGCAGATGAGTTCGAGGTCGCCTTATTCCTTCGCGAATCTCGCACACGCCACTCACTCTTGACTCGGCACAAGACCTTTGAGGACGCCAGAGACACGACAGACATTCCCGTGATTCGGTCCGAAGGAGGCGGCGACAAGATCTTAGTTGAGAGTGACAGTGAAGCTGACACCGATCTGCGCGATATTCCGCAAGCGAACACAAGCGACGCCAATGGCAAGCGCCGCCGAGGGATGGACGCCCAGAGCGCGGGTGGACAACGCACGTCAAAGCGCCAGAAAGAAACTGATTCGCCTCTGGAGCTTAGTGCTAATGGCGATGACAAGAAGCTAGGATTCCGGACACAGTACGAAGGATTCAATATCTACGGTTGGGTTCTATGTCTGCTGGTGACGCGAAAGGGCGATAAGGCGAGAGCACGGCCAGCCGCTTCTGATACTTCACGTCAGGCGCTAATGGAAGAGTGGATTTCCACTCAAGCTCAGGGGGACTTGGACGAAGGTTGAAGCTTGTCCGATATTCTCAGGGGGTTTCTTTGGCAGCGAGACATGTTCCGTGAAAATGTGGCCCTGGGTGACATTCAAGGTAGCAAGGGGTTGCCCCTTTCTATCTGCTCCCTTTGCCATCAATACGGAGATCGAAAGCGACAACGTCATCTGCTACGTACTCATTGAAACCGGCACGAATCGTGCCACCGCAGTGTCTCATGACGATGACACATGAAACATGGGCCGTTACCTCGAGATCGGTGCCGGCAGCTAGGGTTTTCAAGCATACAACATGGATCACTTGAGGCAGGAGCCAAAAGGTCACTTAGACTGCGACCATGTTCCTGCCCACTATCGACCAAAGTGTGCGGATAGTTGCATCGCCTGGCCTGCTGTCGCATGACGAAACAGCAAACCCTGCATCTCTTGTCAACCAATTAGCATGCGTCTCAGAGCAGCAATTACTCAATTTTGCCTCTGTTGAGAGGTTTGCATTTCGCAGGCATTGAGATTCATATGCAAGTGTTTTAGTTGGTAGCACAGCATGATTGCCTTGCGCAGCATGATTTGGGATCGCCTTACGCATGATGCCAATACCGGTTCTCCGGTGGGGTCTCGAACAAGAGGTTTGTAGCTATATTGAAATGTACTACCTCTTGTTATTGTTGCGTTCCTTCTAGTCAAGCCACCCCACCGGAATTAAGCTTGGATTGCCATCCGCAGCCATCACCAGTTCGCCCCTGGTACATGGTATTGATTTAGAGTTTAGATTCCGCTTGTTCAATCAGTATCTATCTTTCTCTTGGACGGATATTCTGATGACAATCTGGCCAACCATCATGATGCCGCGAAGTAATCTGTAATGTCCACATCCAAGACTATAACTATGGAGAAAGGGGAGATTTGGAGCTCTACGGAGTATGGCTCTCGACAACATAGGAACAGTTGGTCCTTGGAACCAGGTCGCAGCCATTGCGAAACAAGACATTCCTTCGGGCCATCTCCGTTCCAAGTTCATGCGTTCGATCTCCGGGCCTTGTCTCCGGGCCTTCCTGGCTTACCAGTTATTACCGCTCACCAGTTCATGGCGAAGTGAAAGCGGACACCTGACGTATCTAATTCCCCGTCGACAAGATGCCTGTGGGGGTTTGAAGTATCATTATTCCAATTTCGACTGTCGGACATTGATGGTCTCATGCGTAAGGTGTATAGTCCATCAACAATCCTGGTCACAGATCACTACTCCGTCTCATTGATGAACAACCGATGATGATCATGGTTTGACGTCAGAACGGCTTGGTGATCATGTGTCGGTTTTTGGTTCGTAGACCGACTATCTACTCCATACTCAGAGAATTCTCCTATCCGCCCATCCCGACGGAAAGTGTAGGGTGGATCACTTGCTGCAGAATTCAGCTAGTCTCGTGACCAACGAACGAAGGAAGCTACTAGTCTCATGAGCTGAGCCCACTTGGCGAGCATTTAGCAGTTTTAGCATAGCAGACACTCAGTAAGATAGTAGGCTTTGTCTCCATTCGCAACCATGTTCAGAATATGGGACTACGGAAGCGATGGACTTGGAAGATCGTTTTGAATATGGAGTCACTATCGAGCAGTGAACCATGGATTCGGTGGTTTCTAGAAACATTCCAGAGTAAAAAAGGACAGGAGACTCCGACACTAAGGGTCTGGAGAATCGCAAACGGACGTGAAACACATGAATATCGGTGGGTAATCATGCTGAGATTTTGTCGGTACCGATGACTACTCTGGGTACTAGCTACATGGAATCAATAATTTTCAAACGGGAATTTATGGTATACCTAGTCTCTAGTGGCAGGGCCCTGAGTGCGACTGGGAATGGCGTAATTTTTCGATAGAGAGACTACATAAACAAAAGATACTCTGTATACCGGAAAGGAATCTGAGTCCATTTGCATTGTCCATACAATTGCTAATAGAAACGCAAAGCCATAGTTATCTGATAGCCCTGTTGTTGGCCAAGTTAGCCGAGATATTAGACCAAGTCCTGCATAACGATGATAGTGTATTATTCCATATGAAATTGTGCGTCTTTGAAGCTAATCCCCCCGGCTGAAGACCATCTAAGACTCCGGCCTATTAGGAGCAGACTAAAATGCTAAGTGTCAATCTAACTCCCAACGGTGCGGAATGAACCCCCCAAGAGTGGATGTCTTCAGTCCAATCTTGAACGAGGAAGTGCTCGGTCCCTGATTCTTTCCCTTGTTCCAAACTTTCTGATCCATAGGAATCGATCGAGATGTCCGGTTTTTACCTTTTTCATTTCTTCCTCCCCTTTTACGAAGTATTGGTGTGTTACAGAGTAGCCTAAGGACTTAAAAGGATCCACTGGAGACTATCAGGCTGAGACTCAGCCACAGCGCAGGATCCGAAAGCGGACTCGGATTCGATGCGATTAAGCATGACTTGGAACAGATTGAGCTCGAATATTCCGTAGATACATACTCCGTACTTTTAATAGAGATTACAAAGCTATGGGATATTAATGGCTGCGCAACCGAGGAAATTCGGAGTGAGACGAACTTCCGAAAAGGGTAAATGTTTATGAGACAATACTACGGAGTACCCTCCGTTCCTGATTAACAGGCTGTTCCACGCACAAGGTAGAGTGGCAACTTGCTGAAATGGGAGCTGCATGCGGTAGAACTATTAACCCAAGTATGATTGTTTCATGTAGAATCAACCGCGTAAATATCGATGGATCGACTACGGAGTACATTGACCCATTGGTCGTCTGTAAAACGCCTATGGACATTTGCAGTATCTCAATATCTACTCCATACCAAGAACAAAGCAACGAATTTCCTAAGCGAGCTGATCCGGAGGCGCAATAGTAGTGACTTGCAGAATGGTCTAATCTCTTGTGCATCTTGCTAGTTAACTACAAGCTGCAGAAGATCCTCCTGCCCGTCTTGCAGAGAAGGCACTAACAGGGATGATAGCAACATTAATTAAAAGTGCCTTGGTTTTACCCTTGAAGATGTCTTGCGACTACACAGATTTAGGTATCTCGATGACTGGTAATGTTGCATTATGGTGCCACAAATCTAGTTCGCGGGGCGTACGCCTGTACAGCCTGCAGGATTTAATATCGAATCAAGCACTCATTGGATGCTCTTGGCCTCTCGCAGCGGCGAACAGCTTATTGAGCCTGAGGATGGAATCGCATAGACTGAAGAAGGGGCAGCTGATGCGCTCTTTCATTATTGATTAGCGAAGCGTTGCAGAAGTGAAGAGAACATAGTTCTTGGCCCATTGTTGGAGCCGTCGTCCTCGGGCATTAGCCACAGCGACGGAAACCAGGACTCAACGTAAATATCACCAGCGGATCATGATTCATGACCTACTGAAGAGTAATCATTAATAGTATTGATTATTAGCAGCTTGATATAACACTTGATAAGCCTGGAGTATGCGAAACACGTCAAAGGCGTATCTCCCGTCTCCCGTCTAGATGGATCCTTGAGCCCAAATTGATCATCTGCAAGGGGAATCAGATCTCGTTGGTCGATGGTGTACTTCAGCCCCTGAAAAGCTGAAACAACTTGTTCTCATGCATACAGTGGATGGTGTAACATGACGGTCTCTCCATGGTATTTCGTAACAGTGTAACGTATCTTTACGGGGCACATCTCCCCTGGGATGCCAAAGTTTGAGACAGTTGACCTGTCGAATCTCCAGATTTACTTCAATAGAACGGGTAGTACCCCTGATCATCCCTGCAAGGGATTAGAGGTGACACTGATCTTCTCAACGATCATGCCAGACATGGTCAAGTTAAGACAAACTGGAAATGTTGAAGGCCTGAAATGGATGGTTTGGTGGTGGCTCGGTTCATCTCCAATTCCGGGGTTTCTGACTGGGGGGTTCGGCTATGAGGCTACGACTCTATGACTCTATGACTCTATGACTCTATGACTCTATGACTCTATGACTCTATGACTCCATGATGACAGAGATTTGATCGTCAGCCTCCGTCTTCCTGATGGTCCGATAGACAAATCAACTTGGCTGCCTGGATACTACCGCCAGGCTTTACTATTTTGAGGGCCAGCCTTGCCGAGGAATGGTCTTGAGGGCGTTTGGATGATTGGATTGAATTACCATCAGGATTCTATTCCCTCCCTAAAGGATCTGCGACTTCCCACGTGTCTGCCGMCTCCAGGTCTGTGAGCCTATTATGATTTGCTGCAATGTGCCCGAAAGACCTGTCGATTACAAGTTGCATATTGATGGATGCATGGACATCGGACTATTGATAGCACTGATGCGATATGATTTGAGTCATTCGGCTGACGAATGCTCATCTTATTGATTCTACTGCGGACGACTTCCCGTATCTTCCTTGCCTGTACTTACGTAATAACAGGTAATGATGTTGAAAGAATGATGCGCAGCTGAATTTCCTTTGTATTCTGTAAGCCCAGATACGCCGAGCCATGGCCCATGCCGCGGAATTTCGGAAGACAAAGAAGTTCAGGAACAGGGAAAAGAAAAATAAAGCCGAGTAACATACAAAGAGACGAACATTGGAGAATGGATCCTCAAATTTGCCACTGTGGTCTCTTTACTCCTTAAACAACCAATCTTCTACCGTAGTTAGTTAATAGTAATATTACCTTTTGATGGACCAGTCGCACAGTGTAGTGGGACGTGGACTGGAAAGGGGTAAAATTTGGCGGTGAGCAATCCCCAGAGGATGAAGCAGTGGGCCCGGACGGGAGGAGCTTCTAGAAAATTTCCTTCGAATTTCCGATTGGGGTAATTGACCCATTACCATATGGCAGAACAATGGCAGAGCTGGACGACGAGTCCATCTAGTGTAACCACCGTCAGAAAACGAACTATTCCGTACCTACGTCAGTATCTGACCGTTCCATGTGGGGCTCAGTTCCTCTTCATGGCAGGGAGGTCCTTTATGTTTGATTATTTTATTTGTATTTTTTTACTTTTGATTTTTCTCTCAGCTTTGGTTC